TGGCTGAAGCACTGGGGTGCCGCAGGATGATGCCCTATTGTCCTTGTGCTAGCCCCAAGGATCTCCTGGTGTTCACGAAGCAGCCCACCTAGATGAACCGGCTGGCACGTGCCCATGCAGAAGACCAGCAGCAGGTGAGGACCTGGATCCAGCCCCTCTCCTCGTGGGTCTCTCCAGTGGCAGACACAACCAAGGAGGCTGTGGTGTCCGCAGTCCTCGACTCCTTCCTCCTGAGCCAGGCCAGCACAGCTTGGTGCATGTGGGACAATGGCTCCAGGATCATTTCTTCAATGTTCTCCTGGTTTAAGATACCAAAACAGAGAGTGTCCCAAAACCTTCTTCCCTCTTGATCCTAGGAGGGAGAGAGAAGGAAGGCGTGAAGCAAGAAAGGAATCAGGAAAGTTTTGTTTGCTGCAAAACCAGGTTGAGTATTTTCTTTCAATGGCTGGTTCTGCTCTGCAGTTATGCTCAAACTCCTCCTGTCAGCCTCCTGCATATCCCAAACCCAGAGAAAACAGTCACCCCACATGAAGAACTCCAGAAAAAGAGATGACAAACCATATGGAAGCCAGGCTTGGATAAAACAAAGACATTGGCATTAAAACTCAGGTCCTATCTCTGCTCTTGCTGAAGATGCTGGGATGTTTGAGAGGCCCGCAAGGGCAGGATGAACACTCTCCACCTCCCGTGTGTCTCAGCACAAACCCTCTTGAGTGTGAGTCACTCAAACACATTATAGGCACAGACTGTGCTCCCTGCTCCCGGGAATAATTTCTGGTTGAGATAGCTTGTGGTCCTATTTGAAGCCCTCAGGAAATAAGACTCCCTCGTGCCCGTTGTATTGAACCACAAAGGAGGTGTTTGGGGCAGCCAGGAGGGTGAAAGCTTTGGCCTCCATCACTATTATTTTCTGTAATGGCAGATAAGACAGAGAAATCAATTTTTTCGTTGCATATTTGAGCTCTGAGGAATCAAAAATGAAGTGACAACCATCTTTTCAGAGAGATGAGCCGCTCAATACAGAGCATGGCTCATTCCAACTTTTGGGGACTGATCTGAACACTCGGAGCATACACAGACATCGCAAACATCACCTCTAGCTGTACAAACTGCTACCAGGGTCTCCATTTCTCATGGTCTTTCTGACACACGCTACCTGCTGGAGAAGCGAGTGTTTTGCTAGGGCTGCTGTGGGGCGCGGCAGTCATGGCAAGGCTATTCCTCGTCTGGTAACAAGGAGCACGGCAACTCCTGAGAAACACAGCACTTGCCCTTCCACACCGGATTAACATTTGGGCAATGGAGAGAGAAATCAAGGAGCCTGTGATCTGAAGTTACATTAAAGACAGGTCCTCCAAGCAATGTGAACCATGCCATAGATAATTTCTTGTGTCAGTAGTTACACGGGCGGTAACAGGATACAGCTAAGACAGAGGACATACCTACGTGTCAGTACCTAACATGCTCTTTCAAACCACAGCTTATTCTTATTCTTTGCTGGCTGAGCAGCAAAGCAAGGCTAAAATTGAGCTGCACCTCTCACACGCTCAGAGGTGTCTGTATCCCTTTACACGAAGAGGATAGAAGGGAGGGTACAGCCAGCTGCCCCTTTCCCACCTTCCTTAGAGAAAAGGAAGACGTACCACCCCAACAGCCACAAACCATGGGTCGAGCACCCGAACGGACACTGATCTGCCCGAGACAGCCAGCCCTATGACTGAAGACAGGGTTCATTCCTTACGGGTGCACACAGAATATGTCTGGCAGTAAAAAGAAAACGGCAAAATTAAAACACATGCAATGCTTCAGGTCTTTATTGTTGCTGTAGAGTAACCGGTACATGATTAAAACATTCTAATAGAATCAGCGAACTCTGAAAACTAAGGCTTTCTGTAGGTTTGTTGTATCCCGGTGTTTCCTTTCACACAGTGTTCATATAAAATCAAGTTATAAAAACATGGATCATTTTTGAACAACAGAGATTGATGCAATGCACAAAACTAGGAACTACATTTCGTATGACCAAGACAACACCTTACAGACTAGCTTCGGGGCTTGCAGCTTCGAACCCAAGAGAGCAATGTCTCAGTCTGACGTCCTGCTACCCAGATGAGCTTGACGACAAACACAGATGGCAGGATTTCAACCTTCTGTTCTGAGCAAAGGGAAAGACACCCCTGATGCTGATGAGGAAACGTGATTGAGCAAACGAGAGCAGTATCCTTAACGCACATCAGCAATCCCAGATAACGTCAGTAAGACCTAGCAAGATCTGTAGGTCCCGTCAACGGTGGGACCACGAGAGAAGGTGAGCTGTGACAAACGTGCTAATGAGCGAGATGAGTCTCGTGAATACGCGTCCCAAGAAAGAGGGGTGTGTGTGATTCCTGGAGGACTAGCACCTTTAACCTAACAGCATTGAAAACATTTCAAAGTGATTTACCCGACATGTCTTAGTAGACTTCAAATAGGGAAATAGGGTAAGAACAGAATAGTCTCCAAAAAATTTGTATATTAGAATCTTTTGAGTAAAAAGCTACATTTTGACCAAAGAGAAAGAAAAAGCATTCACAGAAAGATCTTTCCCCAGTTCCTTAACCATTTTTTAAACAAAGAAGATTCCACACCCACAAAGCTTTTTTTTTTTTTTCCCTGTCTTGTATTTCTAATTGAGCTGGAAAATGATGCACATAACCTGAAAATTTATGTCAATCACAAAGCCTGTGAGAGAAAGATTCTTCACTTACCATGTGCTGCCTGGCATGATGGAGTCAGGCACTGCAAACGTGGCATTTGCAGCTGACAAGAAGATTATTCTTTCTCTAAGATCCAAACACATGAGAGAGGAGGATGAATTACAGATTTGCAGGTTGTTTACCACATTACAGCAGGTTACGTGTTTGGCTCCAGCTGGGAGAAAACCCTTTGTAAGGGTCAATGATGGATTGTATTAGATTTCATTTTTAGAATCCAACTCGAATCACACAGAGATGTAAATCTTTCACTGCTCCATGACAAAGACTCACACTGACGTTTCTGATACATTCAATGACACCATGAAGTTCTCTGAAGGACTGAGAAAAGTGTAGCTAGTATATATGTCACCGACATATATAACCTGTTCTCTGAAGTCACTCCTGAAGACCATGTTAAGGCTATTGGAGTAGGCTGGCCATGGTTACTCCTGGTGAGAAAGCACAGCTGCGGCTCAGGACAGAATAGAAGAAGCCTTTTAGGTCTCCTCTGCATTAACCATAAATGAAGTCTTCAGGTTTTTCCTTGCAGCGAGTTACCTGGATGCGCAGGGAACCGCACCAAAGCAGAGTGTTATGCAAAGAAAAAACAGGCTATGTAGATTTAAGCTGCAACCACACCTTTGATATCAGAGAATTAGGTTAAAAAAAGTCCTCATAGTGCAGAAAGGACCTCCTCCCACTTGTGACAAAGAAACATCAGCTTGTCAGCCATCAGGTACTCAAATACAAATATGAAAAAATCATTAAGAAACATAACCCTAAATATAAACCTAGTTTTATTTATTTTTAAGAAAAAGGGGATTAAAAAAATTAGAGTAAAACCGATGACTTCAAGTGCTTTCCGCGTAATAAACAATTAGTTACTATAAGCACAGATTAAAAAATACTTGTCACCTTGCAAGGGACAGTTGAATAAAGGCTGGTGATTCGTTCAAAAAGTGGCCTTCGATACAAACACATCAGACAACATGTTTAGTGTTGTAATTTAGAGGAAAACAGATGTGTCTACGACGCCGACCCAACGCTTGAGATACTCAGCACAGTACAAGACACGTTTTGCGCTCTGTACTTTCACATTTCGTGGCAACGCCACTCCACATGCGGAGCCAGGCCATCTCGGTTTAGCTCAAACAAGCCTTCATGCAATAAAACCCAAATATTTAGTAAGTCGGGAAGGTTTTGCAGCAATTCAGTTGATCAAGTGGTGTAACATTTTTGAGGTTGAAAAACAAACGTAACCTGAAGTGGCTCCTGCGTGCTGGCAATGTTTATGTCTTTTACTACGTGAGCATGAACATTACTTGTATTATCTATGACAAGAAATACACTTCAAAGTGCTTCGTCTGAGTTTAAGCCTTCAGATTTTCTCAACGTCATGAAAACAAGGGAAAGTCTCACAGTGGGAGCCCCAAAAGAAACCCCCCAAAATTGTGAGGGAGGTTGGAAAAGCAATGATGTCATCAGGTAATCAAAGATAACACTGCAAAGGGAAGATCTAGCCCAATTTCCCTGTGCTGTGATAAGTCTGAAAACCATCTCTTGTACCTATGAGGAGAAAAATCATTGCATCAGAGGCATTTCAACAGGTCTGGCTGACACACACGGAACAAATGGACTTCCTGCTTGTCTATATAGACACCTGAAATGCCTAACAAAGCAATATGAAAACCAAAATAAATGCTTCAAAAACCAAAAGGTATCTTGCCTACTCTGAAAAATAAACAAAATGTTTTCCATCAAATAATGGAAAGGAGACCTTTTTGAAAAACATTTGCCTACTACTCAGGGACAGACTCTTTTTTTTTTTGCCTCTATGAGAAAAAAACACCAACGAAACAACAAAAAAACCAGCTCCTCTATCCTGCAAGTCTGTGTACTACAGTAGGAACGAGTCACCCACAGCTAGCAGGGAGCCGAAACAGTAAGAAACAGTGAGAAATCAAAACGTAGCTGCACAGGTCTATTAAATAATCAGTTAAGACCTAAACAGAGGCAGAGCCAGCACTGTTTTCTGTACTACAAAACACGACTGCAAGGCTTAAAATTCCTTCTGAGGGACCAAGCCAGACTAGTTGAATAGTGGTAGGTTCAGTAGTGTTTGGAAAAGCCTATGCGGAAATATTATTTTAAAATAAGTTTGAATATTGAAATAGAAAAAAGAAACAGAACAACTTCTCCAACTTCCACCTACCAACAAAACATCATTAAACTTACCAGATATCCAAATCCGGTGCTGACTTTATGACATGAAAGTTCAGTGCGTGTCACATTTATTAATGTCCTTAGGATTGTTCAATAATCCAGCAATTTGTTTCTTAATTACAGCAGGATGCAGCTGCTAGCTGCTTGCAAGAGCAATGTTGAAATTACATTCAGAGATAAAAACTATCATTTTCACATGTAGCAATGACTAACATTTTTTCTTCCCCTTCACAGAATCAAGTGCAAATGTCTAACAACGGCGATAATAAAAGACAATTCTCATGCAAAAATTCTTCCCTGTGCATAAAATTTGCAGGACATCTCAAACCCACCCATTTTTACACCTTCCTCTACCCCAGAACTAACCGTTTTTTATTTTCGTGTCGTGAAATTTCTGTTGCTTTTTAAAGTATCGATGACAAGCGAGTTCAATTAGTTCCAGCCCACCAAAAACCTTTTGCTGCACAACAAAAAAGACGATCATGGCTGCAAAATACCATCGTGCAAAGCTGTACAGGTACAGCAGTGCCAGCATACCCAGGGGGAACACCGTCCAATACAGGAGCGAGATGCACTTAACTGTCAGGACCCTGAGCTCAGATTTACACGGTGGAATAATGCTTTGCCCCGTCGCACTGAAGGACTTTCCACCTTCATAGAAGTGTCGGAGTCTCTCCTCTTTCTCTTCCCAACGCTTCCGGCACCAAAGCTGCAGCTCCTCCTTAGAAGTTGGCACTGTCTCTATGGGATATCTCTGGACGTGGAAGTGAATCTCCTTCGGGAAGTTTCCATTCAAAAGGTGCTTCTCTGTCTGAGGGATGTTTTGGGGGTACGCCACAGTTATGTCATGGATAGCATCGAGATTGTCACCTAGAAGAAAGGTTTGGGGGAAAAAAAGATCACTGCAGATCATGCAATGGTCAGAACACTAATTCTCTTCTAGGTGTGACTGAAAACTGCCCATATTGTGGCAGAAATCCCAAAGATGTGTTTGCTATGCAGAGTATGTTTTATCTGCTAGAATCCCTAAAGACCGAGAAGTCAAACTTTTCCCAATCATTATTTGCTCTGAATCTAAGCTAAAAAACTTTAGGTACAAAATTATATGTGGTACAAACGTAGAATTACAACGCAGTGAGTAAGAGGATAAAGAAAAAATTTAAATGAGAGAAGATGCACATCTGGTCTTGGATAAAGAGCAGAGTCTGCGAGACTAATCTTCAGTTACTCATAACTGTGCTGCAAGCTGAAATTGCATTTAACTAGTGAAATACAACTTAGCATATGTTCCTGTGAACACTGAAAAAAAATTCAGTTTGATCTGGAGCAAGCAGCATGCACAATCCTAGTTTACTGAAGACTGAGAAAACATATGAGGAATATACACCAGCTAAATATCAGGAGCTCATTAAATCTAGGGTATCTCACGTAGGACGAGGAGTATCTCTGTAGCTCAGTCAGCTTTGCAGAGCACTCCAGCTAATGCAATTTCTTTAAATCTGACCACCCAGAACTGTAAGGGGATGAGCTGCTGCTTACTGCATTCCAGATCTGGTAAAGACAAAGTACAACGTAACGTAAACAGTGGAGAAGCCCAGCTTTAAGTAAACCACACATAGTTAACTATTTGGGTAAAGTGAGTATAGTTAACCATTCAAAAAGCAATTGCAGATGAGAAATTCAAGGGAACACTGATGAAAACCCCCTCTGCTCTTCGTTACCACGCCTGGTCGAGCCAACGCTATTAGCAGGACATCAGTGCTGCCACAGCGGGGTTAGCCGGCACATCTCAGTATTAAGTGTTTTTACATTTTGCACTTTCCAAACACCCTCTTTATCCCCCGGCCTCTGACCAGACGTTCTTTTTAGATTTCACAAAGTAAATTCTGCTAGTGTAAAACTGATCTAAAAATAGGCGCATGGTGCACTGGATGTTGCATAACTGTTGAGTTCTGCCAGCAGTGATTTATCCCGCTGTTTTTATTTGGCTGGCTGGCTCAGGGCAAAATAGAATTCGAGACTAAAAGCTGTCTCCGGTTGCAGCGACTGAAGATTTCTGTTCTCATGGATGATGTTCCTTCTTGCAAAGATGATCAAAACCTACTCTTTAGCCCCGTGCCCCCTTTTCATTTGCTCCCCTTCCCTGGCTTTCCTTTACAGCTCTAAAAATGACAGGGACAGAATAGCAAGTTACTTTAAAAGGTCATGTTAAAAACGATGTATCTAAAGTTCAGCTTCAAACATCACAAGAGGGGGAAAAACCCTATTCAGCTTTTCAGAGTATTTTATAACTGCGCTGTCTTATAACGAGATCTCAGACAGATTTGTGGCCAGTTGCTCGTTTTTTTTTTTAAAGAGCTACCTACATAAGGCTCCTAGGAGGTCTATCAAAGCAAAACTCAACACTCTAGCTTTTGTCTAGCTATGGGTTAGGAGGTCTATCAAAGCAAAACTCAACACTCCAGCTTTTGTCTAGCTACGGGATCACATCCTATCTAAGCAGAGAATCACTGTATTCTGCACGGATAAAACCTTTCAGATCTCCTTCCAAGAGATGTCAAAATTGAATCTGTTTCAGAAACTCTGCCCTTACAAACAGAAACAATGGCCAGCCTGGTGCACCCTAGCAGAAAGCATTTTCATTTTGAAAACAGCTCGCATTTTTCCTCCCCCTACTCCAAATATTTCTGCCATCAGAAGGAATTGCAGTTGCCCTACAGGACAATATGCCCTAGTCTCTAGTCCAGCCAGAGGAAGGGCTGCTACATATATATCTTAAGAGAGATCCATCCCTTACAACTTGTCTTCTTCCTGATCCTCCATAGCTCCCCAGGTCCTCGTGGCACATAAAACCTACAGGCTTTACCTCAAGTGGGAGGCCAGAAAAGTTCAGCCTTCCTGAGATCTTTGTATGAAAAAAAACCAAACAACCTTCTATGAAAAGAGTTTCTGGCTACATGAGTTTCTCACTCATCTTGTAGTCACTTATGCCTTTGCAGTTGGTCTGCCATTACATGCAAATGTTCTTGAAAAAAATCAAGGCTTTACACCTAAGGATCACTGGTATACAGACCACAGGCAATAAATCACCAGATTTGCTTAAGACACAGGTTTTCTGATTCTGTGACAGTGTTGGACTGGCCAGACTGGGCAGGACTCTCTGCACCCACACAGCTGGTCTGATCCCTTCAGCATGCAGATATATTTCTGCCCGTGAATTCCTAATCTGAAAGAGGGAAGCCTCTACTCCTTACCTATGCATCTGTAGCGTGTCCAGACAGACACCTTCCAGCAGGGCTTCATGCCGGACCGTAAAAGGTCTACACTACATTATGGCTTAACTAGATCAGTTGCTAAATTAGTAACTAAATTAGTTACCTAGAACAAAGCTCAAGGAGCTGCGTACAGGAGGGTGGACATTACTCTTTTCTGCATTGCAAAGGATGATTACGTGTCCAACTTGAACTAGTCTCTCCTAATTCCTAGCTGCAAGGTTCACCTATTAAAGTATATTTTACGCAAGAAGAAATGAAACTTCAAAGGTAGATTTAGCATATCTGAAAGTACAGAAACATCAGAAAGAGAGAGGAGCAGAATACCAGGTTTCATACACAAGGGGATTAGAGCCTTTCTCAACAGGCCCCTTGTTTGGGTCATACATATTTAAAAACTCCACACAAATGGCAGCCTGAAGCTTTAATTCCCTGGCAAGGCAAGCATGTGGAAAGGACCAGCTTCAATCAGTTTTCTACAGCTGCTGAAAGAAACATGCCCTGTTAGCGTTCCGTGCAGTAAGGCTGCAGGAGCTACACTGCACACTTGAACAAAAACGTTCTGCGTATTCTCTGCTGATTCATCAACGGCATCTTTAATATGGACAAGGTCAACGCATCACTGCCAAACATGCTACAAGTGAACCTGCTAAAAAGAAGAAAAGTTGCCACAGCAGATGAAGGTAGACCAACCATTCGAGAGCAGGGACAAAACTCCCTTAGGCTAGGTTTAATCAGGCTGTTTTGAATCTGCATCGTTGGCTAGAGCATCTTTACTGTCTCCATTTCCCTCTGAAGTTAAGCTCGTCTTCTCTGCAGTCTGGAGATATCTAAAAGCACATTTCAAATCAAAAGCAAGGTGCCAGTCAACCAGCAAAAGAGAGTGATCCAAGTGAAGATGCAGGGCCGTGACTGATTTTAAAGATCTTTTTTTTCCACCTGAATATAAAGATCTGCTTAAAAAAAAACAGCTTCTGCACATTTTAAGAAGAGATTGCCCTAAGGGAAACCACATCATTCAAATTCTCTAGCAGGTCAAAAACAAAGTAAGCAAGCGTGTTTGTTCATAGTTGAGAGAAGCTGTTGGTGGACAAACACTTTTTTGCAATGCTTTCAGTGACATCTGAGGGGTCTTCTTTATCCTGCGTCTATCCACATCCCTTTGGGGAAGGAATGAAGGACAGAGGAAATAAAATACTGTTCACAGTTTTGCATCTGAAACCTAATTAAGCTAAGAAACTGCCATTAAGGCTAAAATGTCAGGCAGGTAGCCCAGCTCTTCACGACAAAGAGACACCAGTTTCAGTAGCTTTACTGTCTCATGACTTTCTCCCTGCAGTAGTAGAACTATATATGCTCCATACCCATGAACAATATTTTGTCCTATGCTTCATAAATGCACCTCAGAAAAGGAAGGCTTACTACAGTGCTCAGGAATGAATACAAAGTTTATTTGTAATTATTGCTATGTGGCTATAAACCACATAACACTCAGATGATGATTAATCCACGTAGCAGTCTCCATTTTAGGATGACAAAATGCCTCAAAAGCACTATTCTTTTTCTTTTTAAATTTTCTGTGCTCCAATCAAAGTTATTTATATTTCAGGCTCTGTAGATACACGGACATTACTTCAAGCGATCACAATGCACAGCTGGTTGCTTTGGGCATTGCACTCAGAGGTGGCAGAGGAACAACTTACCAGGCTCATGACAAAAATAACAGCATCAGAGAAAGATGTCGTCTTCTAAAAAATTTTTCCAAGGAAAAATTAGGACGTTTTCTTTCACTACACCAGCTGTTCCGTCGGAATTTTTATTCTACGTTAGAAGTTGAACATCTGGTAGATCAGCAGACGTGAGCTTGCTGCATCTCCCTGCCCCAGCTACGAGTGAGTCTGAGCACGTATCCCCAATACGCACGCGTGCGCACAATGCATGTGCACAGACAGACGGACAGCCATGGATCGACAGGGACAGAAAACACAGCACTCAAACAGAAAACTCCAGCCTCATCATGTTCCCCTCTCTGGTTGATTAGGATAAAGGTCTTTCAGTGGGAATTATATACATGTATACAGACTATGGACCCCTCCAGCCGCTGGCCATAGATAGACCATGCTGTAGCTGGCCCTGGGTCCTTGGTCTTCCCAGGTGCTGACAATTGGACACAGGAGCTCCTGGGGCCACAGGCCCTCTCCAGCAGCTGGTACAGATCCCTTGCACGGATGCACACGCACTGTCGATCCCTCCAGTAATGGGCCTTAGACACTTGGGACCACCCAGTAGCTGGTCTTCGGATCCTCTCTTCTCCAGCTGCCTCATGCAGAGACAAACAGACATACAAACTGGTCTCGCTTGACTCCAGACTCCACAGTCTCCTCAGCCACTGGCTTGGACCTCGCAGTCCCTCCAGTAGTCCAGTTGTGACCATCTGACCTCTCTAGTATCTGACCAAGACGTAGGGCCACTTTGATGCCTGGCTCCCAAGCCTCTTACCCTACTTGCCCCTTAGTCCAGCTTGATAGTCACTAGTGATCACACACTGACGTATGCACCCGCATGATAGACATGGACCATGGTCTCTCCAGTTGCTGG